CATGTCTCGTAGCTGACCTCGGGGCCGTGAGGCCCTGGCTGTGCCCTTCGAGTAGAAGGCTGTGGGTGTGAGGGGGCTGGGCCCTACCGCCCCCCGACTGGCTGTGCGACCAAGGGCTAGACTCTGTCCTGAGGCCGTGACCATGGTAGCCACCAATGGAACGAGGCCTGGGTGTGTCTCCATAGGACATGAGAGTCACAGGCCAGGGTTCAGATCTCTGCCCCAGCTCCACTTCCTGGCTTCTGACCTGGGCGAGTCCCCTACCTGGCTCTTTCCTCATCCGTCAAGGGAGGTGATGGGAGGATTAAATGTGACAAGTGTACGAAGGGCCTGGCACCCCGGACGTGCCCACATGTGCTGGGCGTCATGTCCCGTGCTATTGCCCATGGGGCTGGACATTCAGCTGGCCCCACCCTGCACCCACTAGGGACCAGGCCACCCTCCTTCTCAGCTCTCACCAGCCACACTCCATCGTAGGCCTGGTCCCTGGTATCCCGCTGGCCTGACAGTTAGAAGCAGGTCCTGGGTGGACAGGACGGGTGGTGGGCTGGTCCAGCCTGAGGTCATGTCTCCCCTCCCCACTTGAACCATGTTTAAATAGCTGAGCTCAGGCTGACGGAGAGGGTCAGCCTCTTTAGGGGCTCGGCACAGTCTCCAAACGCCAGTTTCTGGGGTCACTGGGCTTCCTGGTTGCCCTGGAAACCAGACACTGTATGTGGTCCCCAGCCAAGCTGCGTTTTCTGGGGACCAGGAGTGTGGCTCATTTAGGGCTGACCTCCAGTCCCTGCCAGGGTCCTGCCTGTGCCCCCAGCCAGGCTCAGTGTGTAGGACAGCCACCTGCCACACACTGGGAGGGTCACCTGTGTTTGGCGTCTTCATGCTCCCTGCTTCGTTGGGCTTACGATCTGAGAGATGAACCAGGACTTGGACTTGAGAAGCCCCGGTTATCTCCTCAGCCCGGACACTCTCTGCCTGACCGTCTCCCCTGGGGCTCGGTCTCCCGCTCTGTGAAGCGGGGAGGATGACTCTGCGGACCGTCCCAGGAGCCTGGGGTTTCCGAGGGCCGAGCAGCTCTCTGATCTGTCTCACGTCTGGGCTCCTGCATTTGAGTAAAAGGCTAAAAAGTCAGAAAGCCGCGGGGCTGGCCTTCGCCTGCAGGTTTAGGACGACGCGGCCCTCCTCCAGGTTCCCGGAGCCCCTGGCAGGGCTCCCACGGGAGGTCTTTCCCGGCTCCACGTTCACCCAGCTCGGGCCTGTGGCGTGCTGGGTGTTCCCCAGCAGCATGTCATCGAATCGCATTTCCCGGGTGCTTTCGCGTGCCAGGCGCCGAGCTGGGCTCGACCCCCATCGTCGCCCCGTTGGAGAGCTGCTCTTCTCCCCACTTTGCAGACCAGCACCCTGAGGCCGGGGGC